CCTAATCCCACTATTGGGGTGTGAGACTTCACCCAGGTCCTCCGCGCCAACGCAGCACAGAGTTGAGCAAGGTCCGAATGGGTCCCCCTTCAGGATGGAGAGTTTAGGGTGAAAGGGTTTTTAGGGTTTAAGGCTTGGTATTCAGGGTTTAAAGTTTTGTGGGTTGAGGTGTTGAGGGCTTTGGGTTAAAGGTGTATAGGTTCAGGGGGTCAGGGCTTAAGGTTTTAGGGTTTTGGCGTCAAGTTTGAGATTTTGGGCTTTAGGGTTTCAAGGCTTTAGGGTTTCGGGCTTTGTTTAGGTGAAGAGTCTGCAAGAGTGCCAGCAACCACGGTGATAGGGCGTGACAAATTGCCATACAGCTATATCTACAAATGTGTCTATTTCATATGCAGGCATACAAACAGCTTTGGCAAACCAATGTTTATGGGGCTTTTGACTGCTGCCTCATGAACACATGGTGGCTCGCGCAGCTGAGCCAGAAGCCACACGAACACCTGCCTTCCCGTCAGTCCTTTGACACGGGGACCCTGAACCCCATACCGGTTCCATGTCAGTCGTTTTGTGCGTCATTGTCATTCCGCTTGCAAACTTCAACCCCCAAGTCTTTGAATAGCTCTATCCTAAACCCTAAACGCTAAATCTCTTAACACCTCGGACGCTAAAACCCCAAATCCCAAACCTCCCAAACCCTTACCCACGCAAAGCAGGCCTGCCGTCGTGACAGCATTCATCTGCTGGCGAACTTCTCGCATCCGCAAAGTCAGAACCTGCCTGAAGCCACACTGCCAGGATTTGGGTTTCAAGGTTTAAGCTTTTTGGTTTAGGTTTCAGGGTTCAGGGCTTAAGGCTTAGGATGAGGGTTTAGGTTCGGCAATCCAGGGTTGAAATTTCTGCTGTACAACTCATTTATCAATCCGGCTAACCGTCTGAAAGGCCTGGGGCAAAGAGGAAAACACCTAAGCTGGTCCTGGGTTCAGAGTCCATGGTTTTAAGGATGAAGGCTTAACCTTCGGAGTTTGGGGTTGAGGGTTTCCTTAATCCTTGGGTTAGGGCCGCCCAATGGCCGTTTGGGGCTGCAAAATGATCCTGGGCTCACACCAAGCATTCTATAAGGTTGTTTTGAGAAACCCGCAAGTTTCATCGATATCCAAGTGACACCAAGGAATTAGGTTTGGGGGGTTGGTGGGTGGGGTTGGGTCTTGGTGGGTTGGGTTGGTGGGGGGGATTGGGGTCCAGGTAGGCGGTTGATTGAAATCTGACTGCACTGAATCCTAACCCCCTGGAGCCTAAACCCTAAATCCCGGACGTAAAGGAAACCGTTGTTAGTTTGCCTTGCTGCTCTTATGTTTGAGCAACGAATACTAACCTTTGGCTCCTCCCACCCTTATCACAGGTATAAAGCTATCATAAGGAAGGGTGCAGAATGCAAACTAACCTGCCTGAAGCCATTTGGCAAATCTGGAACTGACATCAGCTATCTCTCCGCCTTCTCGACCTTCGCCGTCCGGAAATTTCTACCCTAAACCCTAAATCCCAAACCCTAAACCCTGAACCTAAGTAGTAGCTTCCATTTCATTGTCCATCATCCCTATACAGCCCCGCGATAACGGTGGTACGAGAACAGGTAGAGAATTCCCAAAGGCTGCAGAGAGACCACCAATGCCCACGCCACCAGGAAGTCATGGATTCCCTGAATCGTCACTGATCCGCAGAACGTCTCCACCAAGTCAAACGCCCCAGCCCTCCTAGGTTTAGGGTTTCGGAGACTTGAAATCTCGAATATATAGAGGGTTTAGGGTTTAGGGTTTAGGGGGTACATATATATATATATGGGGTATATCCGAATAAAGGAAAATCAAATGGAAAAGAAAATGGCAAATCACATGGAAACCGCACGAATATGCTTCTGTGGTATGCAAGGGTTAACAAGAATCATGAGGCATGAATTTAACAAAGAAATAGACTCAGACAGTCTTGCAGGTTTCCTGACATGGTCGATATTTGCTCTCCAAAAAAGCCTGCAACCTTCTTCTGATCCTTGTATATCCTGAGGTCCACACAAGTCCCTCCCCGAGATACAACCAACCCTAAATTCTGTGCCATACATTCTACTACACCCTACCCTAAACCCTGCACCGTACTGTACGTCCTACTCCACCCTACACCCTCAAAACATTCTACTACACCCTACGCCCTCAAAACCCTACACCCCAAAATCCTACACCCGTAGACCTACAAACCCTAAACCCTATATCCCCCATATAACCCCTATATATTATGACCCCAAGATATCCCCTACATAACCGCTCAAGTCATCCCCAGATTCGCAGAGGTGTAGATGCCGCCGGCAGATATCAGCGCCCGAAGGGTTTGGCCATTTGGAGGCTTGGCACCTCGTAGCTTCAAGGCTCAGTTTAAGGTTTAGAGTTTCAGGGCTTAGGGTTCAGGGTTTAGGGTGGGTTTAGGGTTTAGGGTGGGTCTAGGGTTTAGGGTTTAAGGCTTAGGGTTCAGAGTTTAGGGCTTAGGGTTTGGGGTTTAAGGCCTCAGGAGGGCTCAGGATTTATGGCGTAGGATGTAGAAGGACAATAAGAAAGCTGATTGACGCCAACTACACTGTGGAACCCTTGTGTTCCCTTGCACTAGGCTAGGTTTGGGGGCCGCATGATATTGTCTTTATGGTTTGACAGAGATTAAGTAAGGATTGGAGGCAACAAAAAATTGGAAAAACTTCTTCCCAAAGCTCTGAAGGAGTGACGCTCCAGTTCCTGCACGATGACACGAACAGCAGCAGCTCCATCATTGCGCAGCATCTCTTCGTGGAAATCCTGCGGCTAGGGGCTATGCCTGGCAGTGTGCGTTATACAAGGATTCCTAAGAAAGTATACCAAGATCCCAATAAAGTCTGACAGGAGGTCTGACCGAACATTCTGTCATGCTCTTCGATATTTTCTCGGTCCCTTCTAGGCCCCTACAATGAGATAGAGCCAGATAGGGCTTGCGAAGCACTATTCATGTAATGCCATGCATGCGTGGCCCGTCCTGCACCCACTCCTTGCATTTGTTCCTTTGCTGTTGGATAGGCTGCGCTGGGAATCCTAAAGATAAAAGCTTGCACACACAGTTTTGTTGCAAAGCCAGTTGCCTACCTCTGAAAAGCTTGAATTTAACAGGCATTTTCATGGCCCAGCAGCGCTTCGAACGGTCCCAGGTCGTGCTGTGAATGTTACCGAAATCATCTTACAAAATTCTCCTGCACCAAGCCTACATGAAGATCTTCCTGCACAGAACCCAGGAAAAGTTGCCACTTAAAAACAACAAGAGTTGCACAAACCAGTCACTTCTCATTGCGGATGCAAACTTTACATAGGATACAAAACTCGACAGAATAAGATGGCCTGACTATGTTTCTAAGAAATAATATTGGCTTGCCCCACTAAAAGCACACTGCTCAGCCAAAGGTCAGCGCGGTCCGAAAATTCAAGACCACCCGGGCACGGCGGTTCTGCGCTTCCTGGGTTCTAGTTAAGGACCTGAAACTAAATATCGGCTTTAAGGAAACCATATTATATAATGTATTCTGAATTACATGTATAACGGAAACCAAAATTCTAGCAGCTTAAATTCAGTTTTACTACTCTATGGAAAGATAAGATGTTTTTATGGTCATGCTCTGGTAACTTAAGCCTAAGCCCAATATATTCCCCATGAGTATATACATATATATGTATACATACATACTTATTAGAAGGAACCCATATTCCGGTAAGACCTAAACCCGAAACCCTACATCTCGTTCCAAGAATTCCTTGACATCAATTCAGCTTCCTGGGCCTCGCGTTCCCGGGCCTCGCGAAGATACCGTAGGTGCTGCCTCCGGCGCTCGTCTTCCGCTTCCTGGACGGTTGCGGTTTAGGGTTTTAGGGGCTTAGGCGTTTAGGCTTCAAGGTACGGGGTTCAAGGCTTCCCTGGACCCGAAATCCTGAACTCTTAAACCCAAAACTTTGAAATCCAAAACTTCCCAAACCCCAAGACCAAAAACCCAAGACAGTACCAACCCCCACAGAGCCTGCGCCGCACGCAGAGCCTCTCGGCGCCTCTCCTCTGCCAGCTCCCGCTCCCGCTGACGCTCTGCCTCCTCCTGCTGCCGCCTCCGAGCTCGAGCTCGGGACTCAGGGTTTAGGGTTTGGGGTTTGCGGTTTGGTGTGTAGGGTTTAGGGTTTAGGGTTTAAGGGTTTAGGGTTTAGGGGTTTATATGGGGGTTATATAGGGACGATATAGGGGCTATTGAAGGGATGTATGATATCTTGGGTTCCAGGGCTTAAGAATTGAGGGTTTAGGGTGTAGGGATGCGGGACTAAAATTTAGGGCCTCTGGTCTAGGATTTAGGGTTCAAGGTGCGGGAGTAACAAATAAGATCTCGCGTCAAAAAAGACAGTGTCCATTCCCTACACCCTGATCTTCGATTGAGGTTTTGAATTAAGGGTTTCCATTGATTCACACCCTACCATAATGTCCCTATAACCCCCAGCTTCCGTTATTCCATTTGCGCCTCGATTTCATCTTACATCCCTAGTAACAAGCCCCCCCCCCCCATTGAATCCCAATACCAACCCCCATAATCCCAGCTTCAATGTCATCTCCCATTTGATTGTCCAAGTACTAGCGTAATATCCCCTAAATAAACTCGAATCCCTAAGCCCCATACCTTTGACTTCACATCAGGGCTAGCCCGACATTGAAAAAATCCCGCCGACGGAACACAATTCTTACAAGACCTAAATTAATAAAATCCCGAAAAAATGCGGGGCAAAGATTTTAACTAGATTGTAATTGCCTCTAAAAATGGAACTTCAAATCTGCCTTGTTTGGGCATTATTATTCCAGGACTCCCCGCAGAAGAGGGATGGATCCGGACTACTCATGTACTCCCTTTCAGACCCCCAACCCTCAACCGCGACAAGCATCTTTTGGAGTTGCTCCCGCGCAACTTCCTGCAGCTCCTCATAGAGACCGCAGACCAGGCTACGAAGCCTGGAACGTGGTTTAGGGTTCAGGAGTTCAGGGTTTAGAGTCTAAGGTTTCGTACGAGACCATGCTCAAGATTATTGCAAGGGCTCTTACACGGATTCCTTTCCCCATGTCCCTGCTAACGACGGAGATTGAGACCGCATGCTTGGCTACTGCTCAGGGCCCTGTAACAGTCATATATGGGACCCTCATCGCGGGTAGAATTTCGCTAGAGTTGCAAACAAAGCGGGTCGGTATCCCATCCATGGGTTGTGTAGGCTCAGGAAGTGGGAAAAGTATGCATGATGATAACACAAATAATGTACGTTATGAGGACCCAAGGGAATAAGTGCATTCGCAGGGGTATCGGGGCGTTTGGGATTTAGGACCGTACTTTGCACCACCAACTAGTGGACGTCAAATTCATGGAGTCTATACCCCTAGACCTCTGAACCCTAAACCCTTAAACCCGAATCCCTAAACCCTAGGCCCCTAAACCTCTGAACCCTAAACCCTAAACCCTCAACCAAGGGGCTCAACTACGCTCTGCACGTGCTTCCATAAGCCATAACATGAAACATAAGATGCCAGTCTCAGGTTGCATATCCAATATTTTGGGGTTCTAGCCTATCACTATGGGTATATGTTAGGTCATTCCCCGTTACAGTAACTGTTACCAGAACAAATAGCAGGACGCATAATCGCCCCTGAATAAGACGGCTTTCAGGACAATTACTGTAGGGTCATGGAAGCCCTAAAGCCTAAACCATATGGGATGTCTTTCCACAAGGTAAGTTCCCTGAATAGGGGGCCCCAATATAAACCCCAATATACTACAATCCTTATGATGGGGACCCACAAAAAAGTACACCCCATAATGACCCCAGTGGAGGGAGAGGGTTTACCAGCTCAGCCTAGGTCAAGGAGGGGGCCTGAATAAGTAGAACTACAGGTTAGGGTTTAGGGCTAAGGGTATAATAAACGCTGGTTATGTAAGGGCTATAAGGTGAATTGCATTGGTAATACATTGTGATGCCTCCCACGCCTAACAGTAAATATTCTCTCTCGTAGGAATCCTTAAATACTAGGGCGCATATTTAATACTGGGGGTGCGGTGCATGTAATGTCAGTTCGATCACTACCCATCACCTTAAATCCTAAACCCTAAACCCTACCTGGCGGGCCGGGGGGGAAATAGTACGTGAGCTAATAATGGGAATTGCTGGGGCTATCATCCTCCAAGGAGCTTCTCCAGTTGCTGCCGTCCGATGTCCCCCAACTTTCGGAGAACTTCGTCGATGCGGATCTCTGCCGGCCTCCGCATTGCAGGGGCCCAAAATAAGCAGGTTGGGTCCCTTTACAAGGAGTTAGATAAGGATATGCAGGCATGGTCGGTGAATGTTTATCTTTCTGCCCCCCTCCGCAGTCGCACTCATACGGCTTAGGACTCAGGGCGGGCTCAAATCTAAGGGTTCTGGGCTGGGTGCTGCAATTGGCGGTTTGGGGAATAAGGTTATATTGGGGTTATATTGGGGTTATATTGGGGTTATATTGGGGTTATATTGGGATAATGGAAAAGAAAATGGAAACTACTATGTAGGAAATAGGGAGCTCGGTGAAGACTTGCTATGATGATGTCCAACGTCCCGTTTGACAGCACCACATCTTCTGTGTGGCTTTGCGCGTCCTAAGTCCTAGGTTCCTCAGTAGCCCCATCATAATAAGGGTACCTTTTCCTAATGTTCAGCTTGAATAAGGAGACGCCAAATTAAAACGGATAAAAGGGTACTACTGGGGTACCTAGCACCCTAAACCCTAAACCTAACCCTATAAACCCTATATGTCCCCATATACCCCTTTGTAAAAGGGTACCACTGGGGTACCTAGCTTCAATCAAACTGAACCACTCCATGACTTCATCGAGAGGAGACCGCCGATTCCAAATTTCCAGCACGTAGGCTGTCAAATAATGGCCTTTGGGGCTATTCTGGGAGGTTTTGGGCTAGTTTTTTCCTTACTTTTGGGGTCCAGGTAACCCTAATGTATAGGTTCTTGATGGAAGCTCCAAAGGCAATGCACAGGCTCTAACAAACAAAATTGTTAGAAGTTCAGATACGAAGATGATTGAGAAACAAAAAGAAAAGAGCATGAAAAACAAAATGGAAGCTGAGGGATGCAGAAGCTACGTTTGGGTTTCGGGTGGAAGTTTAAAACTGTAAGTGGTTAAGGATTACGTGAAGATTATCTTCTTGAGTAATCTGAACCCCCTCATGTTTAATATTCCCACTGTGGTATGTTGTACTATGTTGGGAACAGTTGAAGTTTGGGGGTGCGTGGCCTTCATATTCGCCGGAGGGGATTATTCAGATTTGTACGTTGGGCTTTTCAGGGACTCCCTGGAAACTTGCGTGAAACTTTCTATTACAACATGGAGCCACAATCAAAACAGCTAGCATGAAGCATGAATCTGCTAGACAGCCTGCTGCGCTGTGTTTGCCAGCAGCCATGTTCCCCTTCAACCTCCCGCGTAGCCACACAATGTCATAACTCCCACACCCAACATCAATAACAGCAACTCACACATAACCTGAGTTTCCAAGTTCATGTTCGATTTTCCATTTGGTTCTCCATTGCTGTGGTAATCTTGAAGCTTTTTTCACCCTAAACTCAAAGCCCTGAAGCCTAAACCCCAAACCATTTAGACCCAAAACCCTAAATTCAAAACCCTAAACTATAAACCCTAAACCTTCACTTCTCTCCGTCTGCCTGTCGTCTGCGCCTGGGTCCGCGGTCGCCTGGATGTATCCCAGAAAAGGCATTGCCTCTTCAGGGGAGGCCGGCGCAGCCTCCGAAGAGACACCTTGGCGTAGGATGGTATGATAGAGGTTTAGCGTTTAGGGTTTAGGACTAGGGTCTAGGGTTTAGGGATTTGGATATAACATAGTATAACAGAATATAATACAGTATAATATAGTATAACAAGATATGGCATGTTATAGTATGCTATGATAAGCTCCCGAGTTCTGCATTACATAGGGGAGAGTGAACACATGGGTACTTCTCCTTGTTATCCTGATTCTTGCTACTATTGTTCTTATTGCGATTACCATGAATATTATCATTCTTCTTCTTTTTCTGATTATTGTTAGCATTATTAGTATTATTTTTAGAGTTGTTCTTGTGTTGAATCCAAAAATTAATTCCCCAAGAGTTCCCTACCTTAACCCGAATCCTTTCTCGGCTGTGGTCGAAATTCCAAGGATCAAGCCCTCAACCCTACGCCCTGAACCCCAAACCCTATAGTCCCTCTTAAATAGATAGAATATGGGGTATATGGGGATCTTATTTTAATATACTCAAAGCCATATTGTATCTACTTAAGGGGGACTATAAGCCCTAAACCCTACGTTGGTTGTTTGTGGTTTAGCGCCCAAGGCTCAGGGTGTAGTCAGAGTTTAGATTCTAGCATGATCCAAAACCCTACTCCCTAATCCCTGATCCGTAGCCTGCAACCTACAAAACCTGCCCCTGCCCTCCAAACAATACAAATTGCGGCCCAAAACTGAAATTGGGGGGTTTAGGGTCTAAGTTTGGGCTGATCGTAGGTTCCCTATAAGCCGCTACCGCTAGTCACGCTATCAGAATGCTCAACACAACCCACCCCCTAACAAGAAAGATTCTCTGTAAGGGACTCTATATACCTATATACTGCTGGGCATATCTAATATCATGAGGAAGGGGGGTGTTGAAGGTTTGGACAAGCAAGTACATACCCTGGACCGTAAACCTTAAACTGTAGTTCGCCAGCAACAGACCCTGAGTCGACATGTCGCATAAGGAACCTAAAGATAATGGAAACCACCATATTGTTCGGGATGAAACAAGGGCTGTTATAGGGATGAAGCGCCAAGATTGCTTCTGCAAACTTCTACAAGCCCCAACCCTACACCACTCAACAATGCCTCCTGAACGCCAGCCCCTCCCTCTACTCCCCAAACCTTGAATGCTAAACGTGACACCCTCAACCCTAAATCTTAAGACTTGGAAAACATGTGCCCAGCTGCCTGTCCGCCTGCGGGAACGGGGCGGCTCCTCCCCTGACGCTGCCGAGGGAGGTAGCGACTGCTTCTTCCTCTCTTTCCTAGCATGGCTTGAGGGATGGGGTTTGCGGCTTTCGTGCCTTGGGGTTGAACCCTGAACCCTAAACCCTAAATGGGTGGTTGTCAAAATTATGGTCCCTTTTTGGGTACCCTAAATAAATATTTGGTGCCGTATTATACTNNATTTTGACAACCACCCAAATGATGGCTTTAGCCTTCACGGTTTACAGCTTCAGGTTTGGGGTTGGGCTCAGGTGATTTGATTGGTGCTTGGTGGCTCAAGGGTTCCAGAATGGGTTTACGGTTTAGGGATGTGTGGGCTCTCGATTGGATGGTACTCGGGCATCAGGCTCGGGAACCAGAGGGTTGGTGGCAGATGTCCTGAACATGTAGTCCCCCTTAAGTAG